CCCCACCCGCTTGCAAGCCCCTCAAAAACTCACGGCCGAGTGCAGTCCACGGCGGCAGCCCTCCTCACCCGGCGGAGAGCGCGGGCAGCCCGGCCGAAGACACCGTCCGACCCCCACCAGGAACAAGCCGCGACAGCAGCGGCCAAAGAGGAGGAGGAGGAGGAGGAGGGCGACGACGACGACAGCAGCAGCAGCAGCAGCAATAGGGGCTGTCCCGCCTTGCTCCGCCTTCTCTTCTTCTCCGCCCCCTCGGCAGCCCGGGCTCGGCGGCTCCCACTCACTGACGGACCGAGTGTCACTCTTTAGCCCAGCGCTGTTCACCACCCAAATAACAAGCTGTTGAGCAGTAGGGGCGCTGCGCGGCCTCTCATTGGCTCCTCCCCTCGCGCGCCCCCCTCCGCACGCTTGACGCTCGAGGGGGGCTTGCCCCTCCCTCATTGGGTGCTTCTCATGCCTCCCGCCTTTCATTGGACTGCGGAAGAGTTTCTCTGAGAAGACGATTGGGCGAACGGGCAGGCTTTTTTTTAAAGAGAGAGCGAAAGGGGAAGCGACTTCTCATTGGCTTAAATCGTAGAGCAGCCAAGCCCTGTTGGATGCCCGGACTTTAAAAGGGAGTGAAGTCAAAGTTTCCACCAGTCCCTCCCTCTTTCCTTTGCCTCTGATTGGAAACAAGCGACATTTTTTTAAAGCATCCGGATGGGAAGCCCAGGAAGGCTGGATTGATGGGAGCCCGACGGGGCCGGAAGCTGCGACGAAAATAAGGAGGGGGGGAATGGAACTTGATTGGTTTGTTGGTTTTTCGTGAAAACGGAAAGGGGAGGGGTGAAACTAGCGAACAGCAGTGACGAGCGAAGGGACCGCACTCCTGATGCGCATGCGTTCGGGGCCCTGGGGGTGTATTTTGCTTTACCGTCCTCTTCGCCGGCGCCATTTTATGCGCCGCTCAATCACTTCTTAAACCTGAGGGGAAGGGAGGGGGCCGGAAAAAGAAGGCAAGACAGCTGCGTGGAAGCTTCTAGCTCTGTGGCAACGAAGCCCCTTGGAGAGTCGTGGCACGGTGAGCTCTGTGAGGGAGAGCCTGGCAACTTCGCTTTTGAGGTGGAAAACAACAGACTTCCGCGATGGCAGCAACGAGGGAGGAGGCAAAGATTGTGACGACCATTACAGAGGAAACTGGTTCGTAGGCCACGGACAGTATTACATGGGGGGGCGGGGGCGGAGCACCCAAGTGGAAGTTAAGTATGACGTCAGGATTGGCGCAAGCGCCGCTGGGGGGGGCGGAGTTTGTGTTTCTCCTTTCGGGGGAAAGTTCTCCGAATGCCGTTTGAATAAGGCCGAGCTTCGTGGAATCCTCGTTAGTCCCGGGTAGCCGTCAGGCCTTCGGGGTCGAAGAAGAAGAAGAAGACCACCCTCTCCTGTGCGGTCCCATCTGTGGACGCGGAGTTGACTCTGCAGTCCCGAGTCTGGAAGTGCGGAGTCTACCACGGTGGAGGCGCTGAAAAGCCATTGTAGTAACTGGGTGTAATTCTTTTAACACGGTTCAGGTTGTCTATCACTTTTGGGCGGGGGTCTGTTCTTAAAGCTGGGGAGGGCTTCATAGCGCAAGGCCGAAATGTTGCAACAAGTCAAATATGATGGCTATTTGATGCACCAGGGGTAGGCAACCTTGGCTCTTTTATGACTCGTGGACTTCAACTCCCAGAATTCCTGAGCCAGCATGGCTGGCTCAGGAATTCTGGGAGTTGAAGTCCACGAGTCATAAAAGAGCCAAGGTTGCCTACCCCTGATCTAAGCTTTGATGATGGAACCTTGATTAATCGGATGTATTACAGGGAGTCATTGAGCCCAGATTTAGTCATTAAATTGTTACAGTGATATATTGAGGCACTCACAGGAGGAAGTAATTTTAGGGCCCTTTTTGAGGTGGTCATCAGATGAATACCATGGTCATTAAAGACACCCATTTATTTGAATGGGCTTTTTTTTTTTTCGGAGACTCAAAAAATACTAGAAACAGGCCAAAACATAATTATGGACACATGACTGTGGAATGCTGTGACAAGTCATAAAATTGACCCGCCTGAGAGTCTTATGACTGACTGCACGGGGGCCCAACAGTTTACAAAAAGCGAGAAGTGCCTTACCAACTGTAAAGCAGAACCATAAAGCATCCAATTCAAGTAATTTCAAATGATTGTAAAATGGTTAGTTCTTAAGTTAGGACTGTTTGTAAGTTAATGCAATTCTGTTTCATTCACTCACTGCAGTCACATCTGATTGTTTTCTAATCTAAAAATATTGAAAATCAACATTATAAATTCAAATAAAATCAGTGATGAGGAAGGCTCTTTCAAAGTAAAGGCAGCCATGCCAGTTAGAGAGGTAGTACACAGAATAAAGAAATGCTGGCCCTACTTCCAGCAGCCCCATAGTAGAGCAACAGAAAGAGCCTGCAGAAATTGTGCACCAAAATGTATATAGTAGGGTGCAATAGATTGCCTGATCTTGCTCTTTATGTCTTTTACTGTCTCAGGAGATTACAGCTACCAGTTGAAACAACTACAGACACTGTGCAGAAAATGCAGAACTCATCATGCAGCATTTAATTGCATAATGTACCCATAACTTTTTTCTGATGACAAATCAGAATTTGTCTGATTGATGCATTACTCCCAAACTCACTACATGAATACAACTTGCCAATTCACCATTGGGTTCTGATTGTTACTTTGTAATAAGAAATTGAAGCTTTTTGACATGTTTTAAGTTTGTAACCTTACACCAGGGGTGTCAAACTGCCTGCCTGTGGGCTGGGTGCATCATGGCGAAACCGTGCCCACCCCATTGCTGGCAATGGAAAAAAAATTGCGTCACGTAACGTTGCGAGTTTGACACCCCTGCCTTACACTTTCCTTCAATAGAAACATGTCTAATAAGATTCAATCTGAAGAGTAAGGCAATATCTTTCAAGGCTTGAATAGGAATTCTAAATTCTAAATTGTTTTATGAGGTCACAAATGAGAAATTTCTGCTAGAATTATGAAAATTTATATAGCCTTCAAGATTGCGATAACTTGATCAGAGAAGAATATTCATTGTATTTAAAACAGTAATTGACTATTGCTGTGGAATTATCAGATATAAAAATTGCAATATTGGTGCTTTATGAAGAAGCTGTTATATTTTTTGTTTGGGCTTACATGCTTTGTGTAGTTTTTCCAAAGCCAAATACAATTTGTACAAGTATATAGGCTAATTCTGTTCCTAAGGATTTCCTCCACTGCTTTTGTGCAATTACTTTTATTATTTGGGGGAAATGATTTTTTTTTCATATAAAAAGCTGCATGTATATAATCTGTGAATCTAGCTATTAAAACACCATAGGGTACAATGTGTTTTTCTCCATAGGGAAGTTTTTTTAATCCTAGTCTTTGTAGTCTATTGGCTATTCATGTCTGCTTAATTTTAATCATGAAGATCTAATTATAATAGTTTACAGCTACTGATAATGTGGCAACATAGAAATGCAACTCAGCCTAAGAACAGGAGGGCTATAGTATAGTATACCTGGCTTTATCAAAAAAGGGTTTTTCAACTCTATCCCCGGGGTGACCATCTATAATGTCAAAGAAGTGAGACAGGGTGGCCTGCATAGCAATTAAGTGCAAAATACATATTTTAATGTAGGACAGGTGCCTGAATAATTATTTATTGATACAGTAATTTAGCTGCACATCATACTTTTAATACTCAAGTATGATGTTGGTAAGTTAAATAATTTCTAAACAAAACTAGGTGATTTGGGCTACTATTCATGGCAAGTAAGAGAGGATAGTAATATATATGGGTTCACTAAAGGAAGCACAAGTATTTAAATTATTTGATTGGCCCATATTATTAACGTTTTGGCAAAAGCTGCCCAGTACATCATAGTATGTGAACAGCCAACAAATATATAATACAACTAAAATCCATTTTAAAGGTTCTATAAACTACTGACTTTTAAAAAGAGAATGTAAACATTTTTATGTGCTACACAAATTCACTGGAAAAGTACTGAATAAAATACTTTTTTCTTCTTCTGAGCTTTTTTCTCAAGCACTGTTTTAACTGAATGTTTTAATGGAAGAAAATAGCACTATCCATTATCTAAATTGGTAAATACTGTTTTCCCATCTCTTCTCATATTCCATAATAGATTATGCCAACTAAAAAGTGATAATTGAAGGCATACGTGATAAGATTCTACTGGGGAAGCTGTTTCTATTCTGTAGCTACAAATTGACAAAATATTAAAGAACAGTCAAAGCTTATATATTTAACATGTTTCCTTTACATTCTCATTTAAATGTTATAAAAGAATGATACTTTGGGGAAAATATTTCATATTAGACCCATTCATTTGGTAATTAGTATTACTTCAGGATTTTTTAAAGTATTATCACACAGGCATCCTTGTCTAATATCTCTGACTGTATTATTCATCATAACAGGAAAAGCAGTCAGGGCATACCTAAATATATTTTTATGAGTTGAAATGCTACTTCCCATGTATCAGCATTGAGGATTGAAAGGACAGGTTCTCCTCCAGAATGTTCGAGACCCTTCCCAGACAATGATGGGTTAGGTAAGCTTGGGGTGTGTGTGTTGAGATGAGACTTTTCATCTCCTGTTGCTTCCAATTTTGCCAACTTCCATTCAACACTGTTGCTAAAACCACTGCCTAGAATGCTTTGCAAGTGCAATGCATCTAATTTGTAAGCAAATTAGATGCCTAGCAAGTTGCATGTTTCCATGGATTCTAATCAAATATGTCAAATATCTTGTACTCACTGGATTAAACTTGATATCATGTAAACAGAATTTGCAATGCTTTGAAACACTAGATGTGCATGTGTAGGGATAAAATCTTGTCTGTAAAGCAAGATTCAGATCTGTCATATCTCATCCCTTCTAGTTTTCCTTTAATAAATTTTTGAAGCAATCACTCAAAAACTCTAAACAGTAATTGGAAAATGATTTAGTGCAAGTTGGTCATTAAAATAATGGCAAATACATAAGCAGGCCTGTGGTACAGATTACAAAATGAATTCAAGTAAAAATGTTACATGTTTTCATCATCTGATTCATCTTCTTCTTTCAAAGATTCCTGTTAAGAAAATAAAATCAGACCTAAATTATTCTACATTGTTAAAAAAAACCAATAAATGATAGAAAAATAAGGATTCAGATTTTCAAATAGTGAAATGCAAAATAATTATCTGATGTGGACATATTGGATTAATTCAAGAGCAACCTTTCACTTTACATTTTTTTCTGGCATTATTGTCTAATAGTAAACATTACTTCAGAAATATACTTTTTTCTCCCATAAGATTGAATAAAAATATCTTCCCAGTGATAGCACTAATGTTTTGGTATATCTTCCCCAGAAGATACTTAGCATCATCTTTACCATGTTTCATAATGATGCCAAGCTAATATTGTTTGAATATAAACACATTATATTCTGATGTTACTTAATGTTTATTTAAGATGGAAAAGTATTCTGCATTCTGATTATTATAAATTACTGTGAGTCTAGGGATCTGAGCAGTATATATTTAAATCTTTTTATTATTAACTGCATAATTAATTTTGATTCCTGAATTATTTGAAAATATCTTGACAATTGTGGGAAAATGTCTGGAATTGTATTAATTTAAAAGCTAATTTTATTTGTTCTGAAGTTCCCAAAGTTACCTTAGCATATTTCTCTGCTTCTTCTCTAACATCTTTGGGCACAGTTTCATGTTTTCCTTTAGTTACTGTGAATTTAAAAAAAGTTAGAACACAGTGTATAATTGGAGAATAAAATTCAACAATTTTTTTAAACATTGTGTCAGTTACATACCTCAAGCAATGATCTATCATAAAGATTAATATAAGTTATCTATGTTTAAAGCAAGATTTTCCTTCATATTATTTAAGAAATTATTATTTTTTTAAAGTGATACATTACCTTCTCCAACCCAACTTAGTTCAAGTTCAAAGGCTTTATCTTTTACTTCATCATGGACTATGTAGATTCTAGAAGGAAAAAAATAGAAAATATAATTATTTCTTCAGGAAGAATGATATGTATTAAAATGTTTTGCCTATATTTATGCACAGCATATTCTCAGATTTTAAATGATGTAAAAATCATACATTTTTCATATAAACCAAGAATAAAAAGTTGTGGACATGAATTTTTTGGCCCAATCCAATTTGATGTCTAAGAGCCTGATCTAAACACTATGTCTAATTTATTTAAACTGTAGGATTTCCTGCCCCATTGTCAAAAGAAAAACAAAATATTCTCATTTTCTTTGGGAATCAGACCAAGATAAAAGTAGAGGTAGTCCTCAAATTACGACTGTTCAAAAGTACGATGGACCTACTGGGGCTAGTTAAGACTGGATTCAAAGTTGTGACAGTCTTCCCACCCTCACAGTCAGTCTTCCCACCCTCAGGCGGGGCTGGCCTGAGGGGTATTTTAGGGCGGGGTATAAATCTAATAAAATGAAAATGAAATGAAATGAAAATGTGACTAAACTTTGGGTGCTTACCGCTTGGGCTACATTTACAGCCATTTGCAGAATCCTATGGTCATGTGACTGCATTTTATGACAGTTCTGCCAAAACCCAGCATTTACTTATGGTTTTCAGCAAAACCACACTCTTAGTGAATATTGGTTTGCTTAATGACCATGGCATTCACTTAACTACATCAAAAAAGTTGTAAAATCAAGTCTATCACATGATGGTCTTAACGACCATCATGATTAACAACCATGAGGGCAGACTCCATTACATAAGTCACGGACTACCTATAATGATTTTTGTTTCAGCCTAAAAGCTGGCATAAAAGATAGTCACTTTAAAAAAAACTTACATTTTTGCAACTTCTTTAACAGCATCACGGCACGTCATATCTTTCATCTGTGGATGTATTACTAGCATTTTACTAATTGTTAAAACAGAAAAACAATAGTGCAGTTCAATAGCATCAGTTATAAATAGCCTCAAAATGTATGTATGTATGTATGTATGTATATGTGTCTAGGTGTGTGTGTGTGTGCGTGCGTGTGTTGGATTAATGCATAGTGTTTTTAGTATAAGACTCACATTAAATAGTGCTCATGAAGGTTATATTACATCTTGTACTAATTTCATCAAAACAGAATCAGATAAATGTGATGTGTTACTAGAGCAGTTTTTTTGGTTCATCCAACAATACCTGGGATAGTATCAACTTCCTGAGATAAGAAATATTTTAAAAAATGTAAGTTTTGATATGTCTACATGTAAAATAGAATTCTACCGTGTCTGGATGGGACTGGAGAACCAAACTGGGAAGCTCCAGATTTGGAAACAAATACTGGGAGGATATAGCTGATCTATCTTATTACAGGTAGTCCTTGGGTTACAACTGCAAATAGGACTAGGATTGCCATTGTTAAGTGATACAGTCATAAAGTACGACTACATATGACCACATTACTTAGCAACAACAATCCCAGTATTCCCAGTTGCTGCTTTAGCCCCAAGACACACCTGGGCATAACCTCAAACTGACAGAAGGGAAGTTCAAACAATGTCGGAAAGTATTACTTCACAGAAAAGAGTAGTGGAGGTTTGACACCAACTTCCAGCGGAGGTAGTAACTCAGTCATCAGTAACTGAGTTTATACATGCTTGGGAGAAACACATGTCCACCATCCAACAAAAAATAAAAAAACAAACATAATAAATAAAACAAAAACCTTAAAGAGCAAACTTGATGGACCACTAGATCTTTTTCTGCTGTCAATTTTCTGTTTTTCCATGACGTGCATTAAATGGGAAGTGGCAAGAATTTAGTTTTTCATTTATTTTAGTCTAAGGTAGACTTAGGATGAACAGGAAATAATTAAGTCAGACTATAAAATTGTATACATGTGCTTCTAACAATTCTACAATGTGATCCTGGTTTCTTTGAGTATAAATGAATAGCAATTTCAATTTAGGAACAGAAGCTTTCACTCTTTATCTCTAAATGAAAAGTGGTTGGAAATGAATTCTAGCTACAAGGAAGAAAACCATGTCTTCTTACAAAGTCTGAGTGATACAGGAAGACGTTTGCAGGACACTAAAGCTCCATACCGTGTTTCCCCGAAATTAAGACCTGGAGAATGTCTTACCTTAGGACCACCACAGCCAGGCCTCCCACAACCCGACACCAGTCACACCACTGCTTGATTTCCGCGGCCGCTTGCCGCCACTTGTGGCCAGATTCCATGTGGTGCATTGTGTCATTGCTGCTCCTCCCGGCAGGGCGCCGCATGGTGCATTGCGCCATTGCTGCTCCTGGCAGGACGCTGCGTGACTCTTTGGGCCATTTTCGCAGCAGAAACAGCCCAAAGCGCCACGTGGCCGCCTGCCGCGAGCAACAGAAGCAGCCTGAAGTGCTGTGCAAGCAGCGGAAGCAACCCAAAGTGCTGTGCAAGTAGCAGAAGCGGCTCAAAGCGCACGAGTAATGGAAGCAGCCTGAAGCACCATGCATATCCTGCCGGGAGGAGCAATGGTGCCATGCACATGGTGGCCGGCCACAAGTGGAGGCAAGCGACCGCAGTAGTAGTCAAGCAGCGGCACGACAGGTATCGGGGTATGGGAGGCCTGGCTGTTGTGGGCGTGGGGCAGCTTTACCCCCCCCACATCCCTGCTTTAGCTTGATTTTTAGGGGTGTGCCTTGCCCCCAAACTAGGGCTTAGTTTTGGAGTAGGGCTTATATTAGGCCCACCCCCCAAAAACAAGCTAGGACTTAACTATCAGGCTGGGTCTAACTTTCGGGGAAACATGGTATTTACTTGTTTTCATTTAATTTTGCAATGATTAAGGACAACTTTTTAGTGAGATTTTTCTCTCATAAGATTGAAATAAAACAAAGGGTGCAAAGATAGATTCATTCAATCATTTATATTAACATGCTACAAGGATAGCAATACTTAGATGGAGTCTAGCTAGAACTGATAGGGTAACTATATCATTGCAAGTCAATGTTTTATTGCTTTTACCTTGTCAAAAGAACTTTAGAACTCTGGAAAATCAGAAGCATTTCCACATAGATTTCCAGTTAATATCAGACATTTGTACAGAAGAACAAGAACTGCTTTTAGTATGTAGTGTGCTACAATATGGTCTTACCTGGAGCTTTTCAATCTCTGTCTTTGCAGCCTGTCTTGCTTTACCAATAGCACATCCCCAGTATCCCTGCAAAAATCAAAAAAATGAAAAGGACCATATTTAAGAAAAGTAATTCCTGTAACAAACACATTTAGATTATTGTTTCAAAATGGCAGACACAATTATATATTTCATAAACATACACACGTGATTTCTCAAAACAGTCAATATTTTTATATCATCTCCAAATTGATAATTTATCTAATAAAAATCTATCCATTTGCTGATCTTTAATTTAGAAGCTGCCTTTTACAATAGAGCAATTCAGAGGATGATGATGATGCAACAGTAGCACCACTACTATTGAACACAAACATTTGAGGCAAGAGACAGAGGAAGAAATTGAAGATATTTTGCTTCTTTTTTCCAGTCATAAATAACATATAGCATATTGGGCAAAAAACAAATAGTGTTATTTCTACCCATTTATTATAAAGTAAAAGCAGTAAGTAGGAATTGTGGATAAATCACTTAACAGGATATTCAGAATTAAGGTTACTACTGGCAAGTGGATTTAAATCTTTATCAGAATAGATAACTTTGCACTTTTTGCTATATATTAGAGTGCCTGTCAGATCTGGCAAACCTTAATTTTCCCACAAATACAGATGGAATAAAAACTATCAGCATTTCAATTACCAGCTTATTATTTTAGATACTCTACAGTTATTACATACTTCTCAAAATTGTATTCACTGTTAAATAGATTTAGTTATTCCTACTCACTATGGATAATGGATAATATTCTTGGTTTTCATTTAAACAGATGTAGATCAAAATACTTACATATGAAACTCCTGATGGATCTATCATGTAGAGCTGAGCACCATCATCATTATCATAGGAACCTAACATGAAGCTGGAAAATCAAGATTTCTTATTAGAAACTATTAGGGAGAAATCTTCAATAAGTTATAGAAAGCAAAGTCATTCAGTTGTTTCACTGAAGAAATTGCTATAATTGCTATACTCCTAAGAGTAAGTACCTAAGAGTAAGGTATTCATAGTGATAAATCAATCACTTATATTATCCTTCCAAATAAAAAAAAAGATAATTTATTCACACTCCTGAACTGGATAATGGCAGAATAATACAAGGACCATATATACAATTTGGTATATTACTTCTTAAGACAATAATCTATATTCATTCAGAGTCAGGTTTTTCTGCTTTAAATATGCCCTTTTTAATTGGACATGAATATGAACTGCTTAACATTTTGCCTAGGGAGAAAGGTAGTGTTGTTTTTAATCTGCTTTTATTGATTGTTGTGAGCCACCTGGGATTGTTGTATGAGATAGGCGGACCTGTAAGTTCTGTCAATAAATAAGGAGTATGATGAGAATGTGAGAAACATGCAGAAGAGGCCTTCATCCTGAAGGATAGACAATGGCTAAAATGATGGTGTTGAGAACCAAGAAACATCCCTGGAAAAGGCAAACCATAATGATCTAGACAGAATGGAGCATTTGGAAATGTTCCGTTATTCTGTACTTCTTCAACAAGGTTCGCCTATGTAGTTATGAAATGTACTCTTGCTTTGGTCTAGGATTTGTGAATCAAATAAATTGTGATTTATTCAATAAACCTTGTTTGAGCAAATTTTGTTACAATATATGTGTTAACCAATTTATCTCCGTGTCCTCCTTTGTTGCTATTTTGAATGGTTTGTCTCTCTTCTTTCTACTTAATCTGATTGCTCAAGAATTTATAATTATACTTGTTACTGCTATAGTTATTTAGAATATACAGGGAGAGCCCATATATTCAGTTTGGTATAATGGTTAAGGCATCAAGCTAGAAATCAGGAGACTGAGTTCTAGGCTCAGACACAAAGCCAGATGGATAACCTTGAACCAGTCACTATCTCTCAGTCCTAGAAAGAAGGTAATGGCAAGCCATTTCTTTAAAAAAAAAACACCTTTCCAAGAAAACTACAGGAATTAATCCAAGCAATTGCCAGGAGCCCAAAAACAAACCAAAAAATGTTATTTGCAATGCATTCCCAACTTTGAAAATTATTTCAGGTTTGTAATAATCAAGATCTACAGGAATGGCTTTATTCTTTCTATCAGCATTCAGGGGCTAAAGAGAAATAGATTGTGGTTTATTACTTGCTCTGAAATTTTTAATGCCAGGGTACACTGAATAATAATGTAAGAAAAGTTGATACCTGCAGCCAAAAGGTCTTACAGCACTATATAGAGTATAGGCATGGACATACATAGCAACTCTATCTGCAAGATGCTATAGGGAGAAAGGAAAATAATTTTAGAGCACTGGAAGTAATATTTCCATTTAAAATAAAATGAGATAAATTCAACTTATATTTCCAAAAGAAAAGTGGTAAGCCACAAGGTCACTCACTCAGCCCTACCCTCTCTGTGTCATGAAGTTGGGTAGGTTTAGAAGGTTTTATTTGCCCTTGTTCAACTTTTCATGCTATGTAGAATAACAAACTGAAATTTAATTAACTGTAATTAATTTCAAAACAAGATAACTTCAAGCCATGGATTATAAATCTGGCTGTAGATTACAGTTACTGTAGAGTCAGCTGCTATTCTGGTAAGATAATTCATAATAAAATATGTTTAACTAAACATTTCTAAATTTCAACAATTTAATGTGGCTTAGGTGTTTCTTAGCTATGATAAACAGTAGCTATGATAAAACAATAACCTACATTTAATGGAATATTATAACCGTAGTTGGACCTAAAGTTAGAAGCTTCTTCTCTTGCTATGTCAGCCAAAGATCGGGCATCAGCGAGGAGTCCTGCTACTGCCTGAAATATAGAAGCACATTTCAGAACCTAAGCTAACAGAAATTTGAAACTCAACATGCCAATCTCTACACCTCATTCTGGCAGTATCTTTTATATCAGGAATGTGATTGCCAGGCACATGTTTTGAGAACTGGATAAACCAGAATTTCTGCCCCTACAAGATGAAGCCCCAATTGCTTCCTGGTTACAAGTTGAAAGTTACAAGTTGATTATCCAAAACACAGTTTAATTTATTTATTTATTTTATTTATTTATTTATTGGATTTTAACCCCGCCCTTCTCCTTGCGGACTCAGGGCGGCTAACAGGCTGATAAAAACAAATACAAAAAATACCAAAATGCTATCATTAAAACATAATTAAAAAGAAATATTAGATTGGCCTTTGTTATTTTAAAATTATATTTAAAACCCCGCTAATTATAGGGTTGCTTCTATTAAAACTTGAGTTAAGTCTCCCATGAATCAAGCTTGATATTTTTGTGCCTACATGGACATATCTATGTTGTTTTCTTGGCATTAGTACAGAAGTGGTTTACAGAAATAGGATTTTTTTTAAAAAAATTCTGAATCTACAAAGAAACAAAGGGCTATAAGTTAAGTCTCCCATGAAGAAGTTTCTAATCAATTCTGCCTAGTTTTTTAAGGTCAGCCAAGATCAGTTGGGTGCTGGTACTTAGTCGCATGCTAAATAATAAGTAAATACCAACTCACCATTCCCACATGTCGATCAACATTAAACAAACGTTTATTGGATCCTTCCTCATACAGTTTGGATAGAACTAATTTTTCTACTCCAAAAACAACACCATCTTTACATCGTATCCCAATTGCTGTACTGAAGAGAAAATAAACCATAATAATTAGTCAAATATATTTATTGCATTTAGTTTGATAGGATTTGTATTGCTACACAGATTAGAGGCTAGGCTGCATCGCCAAAATGGCCTCTACAAATTCATTAATTCTGTGATGTCTGGGGACACTTCAGTAACCTAATAGAAAGAAAACACCTTAAAGGAATTTATTAAATTTTAAATGTCAAATCTAAAATAGTGAGTTGATTTAATAACTAACTCTATTTAAGCAAAACAGTCTCAATTAAAAAATAAATTACTGAATTTAGTTTTAAAATATGCACAGCTACAGGTTAGGTAATAAACATTGCTTCTCGTCAATTCTTCTAGACAAATCAAATTTTAAATTATTTCCACAAGTACAGTATAGCATGGGATTAATCCTATAAAGAAGAGCTATATAACAAGCAAATATATAACAAATACAAGCAATACAGCATTTAAAAAATTATAGGTGAAACTCCAGAGTGCCCATATGTCTCCCATTTCAGTTTGAAAAACTGCAATAGTAAAACCAATAGCCTACCTACAGAGAACCTAAAACAACTCTTAATGGTCTATCGCAATACCATCTTATTTTTATTTTAATATTGTTCACTTCTCAGAGTCGCTTGTTTGGATGGGTGGTCATACAAACTGAATAAAAAAAACTGCCTGCAATCAGGTAGTCCTCGTCACATGCCTATTCCAGACTGCAGCGGAGGCCTTGTGAAATGCCTTACAGGTCCTTGGGGAAAAACCCCAAGCTCCTCCTGGACTCTAACCAGGGTCCATCAGTCATCTCAGGCAAGCCAACTCAATAGGCCCCTCTCTCTCTTTCCATTAGACTTTACGGTCAGTATTTCAAGGTTGCTTTCTTGAAATAATTAGATATATTAACTGAATTCACTCTACAGTGAATTAGCTGCAAGTATAATTTCATTTTTTATATCTTGTTTCAGAGAATTTCAGAGATTCAAATAAAAATATGAATAGACAGTATTTACGGTAAGTTATTTGGACTAATGGAATCCCCAAAAGTAACTGACTACATTATTGCAGAATGTAAAAATTCAAATCTCACCTGCTGTTTTCGACAGCTTTCATAGCATACTCTACTTGAAATACTCTGCCATCTGGAGAAAATGTAGAGGCTGACAGATCATACTGTAAGAAAAAAAAATCATTTTTTTCTATAAAGCAAAAATAATAGAATTGTATTTATTAGCCTTTCATTGCATCCCTTGATACCTGAATATTCTCCAGAATTACCTTATAGGGGAAATGGGTAGAATAATAAATAAATAAATAAATAAATAAATAAATATAATACAATATTTAATGGTTTCCCACTATTAAAACAAGTCGATTTCAAAATGCAAAGGAATTCTGTACTTACTAAACAAACGTAAACACAGAAGACAATATTCTTCATTAGCCCCAGATGAGGATAAAAATACAACTCTAAGCATATTTTCTCAAAAATCAGTCAATTAAGCTCAATAGCATTTACTCCCCAGGAGGAAGAATGCAGACTTCAGCCATAGAGTATGGTCCCCAGAAGACTTATTCCGATTAGCAAAAACAGTTCATAGGTATTCTCTTTGCATTTATTCCTATCCCAAAAAAGAATCAGAAATTCATTCTGAAGTATTACAAATTATGTTTCATTTAAACTTTCTAGTAATCATTATAGCTCAGCACATATTCAGAATACTAATTTTTGAGGGGCAGAAATATTATTTTAATACTTAAATATTTTAAGTGTTTATACATACACACTTTCTCTCGTTCACTCTCCTTCACTTGTCAGACAATGATAAAAATGTTTATATTTATACATTGTCTCAGTTGTAAGTGGATAACCATCTTAATCTTGTGCCAAGCCTCTCAAAATCAGAGTTATCCAAGTCTATGATCCAGTGACTGATGCAACAGAGTTTGAAGTACAGGTAGTCGACCACAGTTGAGACCAAAATTTTATTGCTAAGAAAAATAGTTGTTAAGTGAGTTTTGCCCCATTTTACGACCTTTCTTGCCACAGCTAAGTAAATCACTGCAGTTGTTAAGTTAGTAACATAGTCGTTAAGTGAATCTGGCTTCCCCATTGACTTTGTTTGCAGACTCTGCAACCGTCATAAATATGAGGGCAATTCTGAAATAAACCTGTCTGGTTATCAATGACAGACACTCGCAGATACAGAACTTTTATTATCCACATAGAAAACTACAACATTACATTACTTTTTGACATAATTGCCATTCAAATTGAGGCACTTGTCATAATGTCTTACAAGGTTTGAAATTCCTTAGTAGTAGTGGCTTGGCGCCAAATCCGGGCTATGGGGGTGTGATCAAAAACATCCTAATGGAACTGCTTCAAAAATTCTTGGGTGAATCTAGCAGTGTGCGGGCGAGCATTATCGTAAACCAACACCACACCGGAAGTGGTGCCATAGAAAATCCTGCCAAATGTGAAGTTGCCAAAGGAATACTGTTAGTAAAGTTCATGGAGTGTGGTTTGACCATCAATTCAGAAGACCACTGTGAAACGTTAGGAAAACACAGACGAGCCATCCATAACAAGCGTCGTGGCATGCTGACTTCCGGTGTGTGTTGGTTCACAATAATGCTCGCCCGCACACCGCTAGACACATCCAAGAACTTTTGAAGCAGTTCCATTGGGATGTTTTGGATCATCCCCCCTATAGCCCAGATTTGGCCCTGAGCGACTACTAAGGAATTTCAAACCTCGTAAGATGTTATGGCAAGCGCCTCAATTTGAATGGCTATTATGTTGAAAAGTAATGTAATGTTGTAGTTTTCTAATGTGTATAATAAAAGTTCTGTATCTGCGAGTGTCTGTCATTGATAACCAAATGGAGGTTTATTTACGAACTGCCCTTGTACATGCCAGTTGCCAAATGTCTGAATTTTGATCACGTGATCATAGGGATACTGCAACAGTCTTAAGTGTGAAAATGGTTATAAGTCACTTCTTTCAGTGCCGTTATAACTTTGAATGGTCACTAAATGAATGGTTGTAAGTTAAAAACTATCTGTAGAGGTTTCTATGCCAGCATCAAAAATATTCTAAAATAGTGTCCCCAAAAGACGTCATTGGCAGCCAAGCAGAAACGGGCATCATTGGCAGCTTTGGGTTTGGGGTGAGGAATGATGCAAGTGATTGTTTGGTTCAATTTTGCCATGAAAATCGATTTTGAATCATGAATACCTGATTCAAACAGCACAAGCATTACTTATACATTTGGACCTCACCAAATAAACTTCACCATAATCAAATCGACTATGTCCTATGCAGTCATCAATGGTCCATTCCTTGCTATCAACACATATCCAGGTGTTAATTACAGTTCAGATCATGAATTGTTGGCAGCTATAATCAGAGTCACATTATGCAACATCAAAAGAAGTTTGACATCACCAAAATCCCTTCCATATGTGCTATTGGGATGAAAAATAAGTTTGAACTGCTGGACATTGCTGAGATGATGCTTGATAAACTTTAGCAAGAAATTCAATCACGTATGATTGAAGCAACAGTTGAACACACCATACAAGAAGCCAGAGAAAAAGTGCAAGTTGCTCTAAGATGAAACTATCAGAATAGCCAAGTGAAAAAAAGCTGCAAACAGGAAGAAGCAAGTAGAACGAATGCAGATTTCCAAGCAGCATTAAGGAAAGACAACAAATTATTCTGGGACCAACTTTGCAAGCAACTAGAAGAGGACTGCATGATGGGCCACACCAGGAATGCACTTGTGCAAGTCAAAAAGGATTTTACTGCTCGTAAAAGCATCACCAAAAGCATGAAAGGGAAAGAATAGGTGACCATCAAGGTGGCAACAATATACAGACAGCTGCATCCAGTAACAAAGAGGCTCAGCCTCCCAAGGATGAGGAAAGGGAAGCAGAAACAGAACTAGCCATCCTTCAGGAAGAAGTTGCATGGACTATCAGCCAACTGCCAGATAAGGCCTCAGGTGTTGATATCATGCGGGTAGAATTGCTGAGACTCACAACTATAACAGCCTTGGCTCAGAAAATCTGGAAAACAAACATGTCCACAGAATTCAATATGATCATTCCATTGCCCTTTTTGGGCAACTTCAAGGGTTGTTCCAATTACCAAAATACCTCACATTAGCAAGAGAGATTGTGCTATAAGGAAGAAGGGTAGGCTGCTTTGTCTCTAGGCCACATGGCTCCAGCCTGGAAGAGGGTACCATTTTTGGAGCAGCTGCAATGAATTATGCCTGTTTCAAAAATGGTACCCACTTCCATGTGGCCTAGAGACAAAGCGGCCTACTCTTCTTCCCTCATACAAGCTCCAAAGATCTTCTAAAAGTAAGTACACAAGCAGTAACTGGGAGTGGGAAGGAGGGTGTGGGGCCCAATGGGGGGGGGAACCAAGACCAAAGCACGCAGGGAGCTTAAGGGGCAGGAAGTGGAGCATAAGATACCTCAGGGAGTAAGAGAGGTCTTGGGAGACCTGAGGCAGGGAGAACTTTGAGGTACCCTGTGCTCTGCTTAACTGTCACATCAGGGAGAGCAGGGATGGGGGTCATTAAGCAAAACCATAATGCGGTCATCTTGCTTAACAACCATCACAATTTGCGATTGTAATGGGCGGTCTCCATTACAGTCACAAATTGAGGGCTACCTGTATGATATTGCCATTTACTGTATATTAATCATCTTTCACTTTTTACTATGTAGTAACAACAATTTGCATGATTCTTGGGCAGGTTTACACTGTCTTGCTTATCAAATCTGAACTGTTGTTGATTAATAAACTATTTTTATTCACTCTTGTATATAAACACAAATTATTTTAAAAATCAATCCATAGCTGGATTTGTCCATCATGGTAAATTCTGGTTTTCTTAATTATTTTTGAATTATAATTTACTATGCCATAAACCATGGTTTGCAAATAACCATAGCTTGGTTCAAACAACACACTAAGCAAAAACAAATATGCCCATATATTTTATGTTCTTCCAATCAGGAAAAATGAAAATATTGGCTTTGTTGAAAATAAGTTTGCTTATAGTGATTTACATAAAACTGACTGACATAAATGAACAGCAACCTCTGCTGGTAAACTAAGCACAGCAATGAGTTGTTATTAACTTTTCAAACTGCAACTCTTTATGCTTAGAATCATTTCACAGATTATGGAAATCCAGGTTAATAGCAGGTATTGAGAGTACTACTGGATTCATATTAATTTCCATAAAATCATATTATATTGTATTTTGAAGTAGACAAGTCCAAATCTGCCCCAGTTCCTATAGTTCGTAAGAAAGCATGAAGCACCTCTTTTCAAATAATGATTTGCAATGGCTGCTTTGGAAGCTGTTCCTGTACCATATAGGTTGCCCTCAACTGATAATAACCAGTCATTTTGCAATGCTAAAAGATACCACTATCGTAGAACAGGTGCTTTGCAGTCCATAAAGCACCCCCAGCCATTGTAAATATTCATACCACCTCCCTGGTCACATAAACACATGTCAGGATCTGGTTTCTGACTCACTGCAAGGTTTTGTGGTGACTGCAATACGCAATATTTTTGTGGATTTCTAACAAAAACAATGCCCACTCAAATGAACAGGTTCACTTAATGGTTGTTGCATAGAAGGTCACAAAAAGTGCTTCTGGTCACATGTGTGCCTTGGCAAATTTGTTTAATGGAGACAGCGACTGGCCCATCACATTAAGCTTTCAACCAACACCCCTCATTATCCCCAAACTCTCCAGCCAGTATGACTATTGAAAATGTTGATGAGTGTATAGAGAATACAGGTTGAGGAAAATTATTGTGGCTGCGTTTTACACATTTTACACCATTATTAAATGCATCAAGATTTATAGAATTAAATGAATTCTTTGGCTCCATCAGCAAAATGGGCTGAATGGGACAAAATATTCTTTGACTGAATCCCTCCAAAATAGAGTAGGCTTTTGTCAATAAAAAAAAATCAGCAACTTTGGCCCTAGTAGTTATTTTGAATGGGGAGGAACTCTACCTGAAAGGGTTGGTTCTCAATCTGAACATGGCCACATGATCACAGGATGGTGTAAATGGTTGTAAAACTCAGCCTGGTTGCTGAGTTCCCAACATTTGATTATATCATCACGGGAACTTTAAATCTGGTTCATAAGTAGCCCCAGGCAGGTTGTCATAACCTTGACCAGTTGTAAGTCAAGGACTACCTTTATTTGACTGATTAGTGTAATGTATTTTAGATCAGACATTATTTGGAGACAACACAAAAGTTTCAGCTAGTTCAATATGTGGTAGCAAGTTTACTCACAGGACAATTCCATCATAACAGCATCATGGCAGCATTAGGAAAGTTATTGTTCTGGTTACCTTTAGGCTTCCAGGCCAATTCAAAGGGCTGGTGATGATTTACAAACTTTTTATCATGAATCACTGTTTTTGCCAAGATGGAATTTGTCTGGCCAGTAAGAATATTGTAAGATTTAACTACTTGGAGTTTCCATTCTGTATGAGGCAAGGAGGTCATGGACTAGGCAAAAGGGTGTTAGCATTCCAACTCTTGTTGTTTGAAACTCCTTGCATCTGATGGTTTGCACTATTTTCATCTGTCACATGCCATGTTTTAGTAAAGACTTCAAATTTGCCAAATAGCATAATTCAAAGCACCTACCATCTTGAATTCCCTTCAATTAGGCAATAAGCTAAACCAAAAGAAACAAATGGGCATAAATGCCATTATGAATAAATTACTCAAAGTTTAGCGTGTCTTGCAAACCCAGAAAAATTGCAAAATGGTGCATCATACAAACCCAGTTAATGTGCTTTCTGGAAAAAAAAATCTCATACTCATAGATGGTACTATCAAAATTTGTTCAACTGCTGAATGGTAGCAAACAGACTTACTCTCCTCTCATTTAGCACCTGTCAGAATGTTTTCTTCCCCAGATAGGGAGTGCTACACTAGGAAATACAATCCATCCCATCTTCAAAAGCTGCTGCTTGGCTGGTCACTAATAGCAAACCAGACTAAAGTCCTTAGGTAAAGTAATGTTTACATGTTTTTTCACTGTAGATCTTTGAAAGAATGCAAACGAATTAGCCAAGATGGACAGCTCGTGAATTTTCCCCTACCTAGTAACTAGTTCAGAGGTAGGCAATAGAAGTTTGAGGGCAAGAGAAGAAAGGGACGACAGAGAATGAGGTGGCTGGATGGAGTCACTGAAGCAGTAGGTGTCAACTTAAATGGACTCCAGAAGATGGTAGAGGACAGGAAGGCCTGGAGGAACATTGTCCATGGGGTCGCGATGGGTCGGACATGACTTCGCAACTAACAACAGGCAACCTTGGCTCTTTTATGACTTGTTAGAAGTAAGTCTTCGTCCTGGTTCATCCAAGCCGGGAATAAATAAGCAAACATGGCGACTGCTTTGGGAAGAAGGTTACAGTTTATTGCAGAAGACAGATGGTCCTTGCAAGAAGCAGCAGAGGAGAAGAAAGAGAGTGAGAACATGGGCAGGTCTTTTTATACCCTCTAGCCCTGCCTGGAATAGTTTCCTGTTCCTGTGGCATGAACTTTGAGGCTATTTCTGAGTGGTTTTTCTAGGCTTTGATATCTGTGGTTTAATCCCATTATCATATCCTGCTTCCCAGGTGATGGGGCTGATGACTCTTAAGAGCTTCTTTTGTCTTGAGATCCCTGGCTCCAAACTTCCTGATGGTTCCACATCTGCATATGTATAAGACTAGCTACTGCTTTGGGCAAAGAGATGAGGCCAGGTTTGGTTTCTGCTTTTCAAAAAATGCTTTTCAAAATCCTTTCGGTGAACAATATTTTTTTCTGCCTTTTTAATATTTCTTTCTCTGGGTTAACTTCCCACAGACTCGTGGACCTCAACTCCCAGAATTCCTGAGCCAGCCCCACGAGTCATAAAAGAGCCAAGGTTGCCTACCCCTGAATTAGGGAATGCATGATTAGGGCTTTCACTTTCAAGATTCTCAGCTAACACCGCCGGTTAGGTAGCAAGCTGGCAGGGAAGCTCTCAAACCAAAGAGGGCCGTCAATAAGCAAGCCAGGTTCCCCCGGCCGTAGTTCGATGGCCTTGTACATTGAAAGACGGTGGATGCCAAGACTTGGAAGGGTTTTGGAACGCCCTGGAAAATTTCCAGGCCGAGGCCCCCTCTATTCCAGGACGACGTGCCTCCTTTCCTCAGGTCAGACTTGCCTTCCGCTTTCGATTTTCTTCTGTGACTCAGCACCGCCACTAGCAACCCAGTTCTCCAGACAACTGCTGGTGACGTAATAAAAAGCGCGACGCTCCCTCACAGACCCCGTATGTGCAAAGCAGTTAGGTCAGGGGTAGGCAACCTTGGCTCTTTTATGACTCGTGGACTTCAACTCCCAGAATTCCTGAGCCAGCCATGCTGGCTCAGGAATTCTGGGAGTTGAAGTCCACGAGTCATAAAAGAGCCAAGGTTGCCTACCCCTGAGTTAGGTTGTCTCTTGGCCACCTCCCCCTCCCAGCGCCTCTCCCCTCCCACCTTCGAACCCCACTTCCCCCCCCCCCAAATTCGAACAAAACTTCGCCGGGGCGAGGCTCAGCGATTCCTTCACCCCTCCTTTCGCCGGCTCACTCACCCCGGTGCCGATGGAACTCATGACGGAGGAAGCCTCAAAACAAACCACCTCACGGCTCCGACCCGGATTTTTTTCTCTTTTTTTTTTCGCCCCTTCAGAGGATCACCCACTCGCGCGTCTCAGTCGCTCTTCAACAACGCGCACATCCATTGGACGCCGCCTCCAAGCGTCTTGGCTAATGATTTCCTCCGGTAGGCTACGGACCCGAGGAGGTGGAGCCAAGCGCACAAAGTATCGGGGGCGCGCTCACGAAGGATCGCCGAGTCACTGCAGACGTTTTTACATGCGCGCGCTTCATATATATAAAAAAAAAGAGGAGTGATATTCACTACAGGAAGCCGGAACTGCAGAGCCCGGCTAGCTCAGTCGGTAGAGCATGGGACTCTTAATCCCAGGGTCGTGGGTTCGAGCCCCACGTTGGGCGTCTGTACTTTTTCCATTTTTTTTACCTTGCAGAATAAAATTTAGGGAAGAAAGCCAATGATACTAAAAAAAAATCAAAAGCAACAGCAGCTAGATTCATTGGGTTTTCTGATTAGATGTGGATAACAATGGGCTTGAAAACTGTTTTTATAGTAGTTACTAGCCACGAGGATACAGTTGTATGAAGCTGGCAAAGGGACCTAAGGGGAAGAGAACTTCCAAATGTAATTCATTTAAATATATAAAAGCAAAAGAAACTGTAGAGTTCCACTAGGAAAAAATAATATGCAGGCATTTCCTTTTTATTTCCTCCTATTTTATTTTCTGTGTTATTTAATTTTATTATCAAGATAAAAGGACAAAATGAGCAAACCTTTTTTTTTTATTCTTCAGCAAAATTACCCAGATCTTTGCTCTCCCGAAAATACCTATTTTCTTTACACCTAGTCCAGTGATTGTGAACCTTTTACAGACCGAGTGCCCAAACTACAACCCAAAACCCACTTATGCATCATCTAGTGCCGGGTGGGTGGGGCCCATTGGCTGGGTGTGGCCCATTGGGTGGGCGTGGCCCATTGGGTGGGTGTGGCTGCAGTGGTAATGACAGACTGGGTGGGTTTAAAAAGTTCAATCAATCCCAACTCTGCAAGATCTTTTTTTTCCTGTGAGAAGTTGAAATTGAGTGAACCTTTTTTTTTTTTGCACACGGCGGCGGAGGCCTAAAGCGAAAAGGTTTTATAAAACCCAGCTGAAGGCCTAGGACTGGGGTGACGGCACACGTGCCCACAGAGAGGGCTCTGAGTGCCGCCTCTGGCACCCGTGTCATAGGTTCACCACCTATGCTTTGTGTGTGCAAGTTTGCATTCTGACAGCAATCCAGGTTTGTATGCACAAACTAGAGCGGATTCCTACCAGTCTGCTTGGACAAGCTGGCAGCAAAACAGAGCTCCAATTTTATGTAGAGTAAAGGGATAAAGTTGTCAAATTTTGCAGATATTTTAAATGTTTAAAAGAAACACAGCTGTTAGACATTTCTTTAGCTTAGGGGGGGCTATGAAAATATAACACCAATACTAAGGGTGATGTGAACTGAGAATGTTTAGGAACTACTGGGATAAGGAATGGGATGAGTAATCCATATGATGCTAAATTATTAGCTGCCACGCTACTACTGATCAGTTGTATCTACAAGTAAATTACACAAATTCATTTATTTTGATGAGGTCAAAAGACCACAGATCTTGAGGACTTCAATAAATAGCACATGCATTTTATCTGCCTTTTCTGCCTCTTTTCAAGTTTACATACTTTTTAGATCAAAAGTACAATGTACCAAACATAGTCATGCCATAGATATATATAAAGATATTGCTGCTTTGTTTAATTTGATTTTCAATCCTTTTCGCAATGATTCCTAACAGGAAAACTCATGAAGTTTGCCTTTAAAAAATATTCTATTGCATATACATCTGAGACTTTCAATAAGCTATTCCCTGGTCTATTGCTGGAAGTTCAGGATATCTGTATCTTATGATAAACTTCATCTCCAGCTAGTTACAAAAATAAGACTGTGTAATTTTCTTGGCAATAATATGGAAGTGCTTTCTCACTGTCTTCTTCCAAGTAGGTTTTTCCAGACTAGTGTATTGTTCTGGAATTCCCTGCTAGCACTTTCATAATCGATTACTTTGCATCTGTTCATATTGAATTACATTTTCATATTCAACAAAATCACTATTACGTAGCCTATATGCCTTCTCAAATTTTGGTGAGGATAAGCTGGGGGCAGATTGACTGTGACCCCTTTGGAACCTTCAAGTAAAGGCAGGATGCAAACTAATAGTAGAAGAAGATTAAACCTGCCAAATCTGGGTTGCAAATATCTACTATAGCTCTTCTCCAGTCCTGCTATCTGATAGCCATAGACATCACAGCAAAAATAATCTCTTCTTATTTTATTGTACAGGCTTCTTAAGTATGCTGGTCATTGACTATAATAAACATTTGATTTGATTTCTTAAGTACTCCATTCCCATGTATTCAACTTACTTTTATATTTCTCTTGACATATTTATCTCTTATTTCTTTACCAAAAAGTAGACAGAAGCACTTTTTTCAACCTTTCTTCATCATAGCAGACCATAACATCCACTAACTTTCTATCAACATTTGCACCTCTTAATATTTCTTCATCTATTGTCCCATCTGTAGTAAATAGTCTACCAAGGTGCATATAGCTTTTCATAATTTATCTATAAACTCACCTGTAACATCCCTACAAGTATTCCTTACACATTTGTATATCATTAAACAAGGGAATATTATATATTCAATGTTTAAATATTCACTAGACACATTATGCACTATTCTAATTGTATTCAGCCACCAACCTTGAATTCCATATTCATGCTTTGGAAATTGCAACCTGGCTATCTTCACTTGTACATGCATGTGCTTGCAGGTGTACTCAGCTTCATATCAGTATCGACTTTGTAAATGATGTTGCTGTTTTAATTATTTGAAAAGAGCTGTATATATTCCTGGGCATTATACTATGGTGAAATGTAGTCTGAAATACCAGGAGGGGAGGGACTGCATCCCAGAGGGTGCAGAGCTTGGAAAGTCTGGTAGGCAGGAAGAGGGCAAAAATAGCTTCTCTTTAGCAATTCATAGAGTATATCTATAGTTTTCCAGATAGTTGCTTTAGTCTGGCAAGATTCTGTCTGTAGGTGAACAACAATAAAGAAACTACTCAGAGTTGTTCTTGGTTCTTGTGGCCTGACAATGCACATTTTTGAGGGCTTTGTACCCTGATACTATCACTATCACGGTACACTTCCGTGTACATACTAATGTCATATTTATACACTCCAACTTTTACAAGGGCTGAAGCTACCAAAGTGAGAAATAAATAGTTTGAGACCAGACTGGGTCAGTATCAAAATCTGATGCAGTTGTCCTCCAGTTCCATAGATGAGAAATGAGTGGAAGAAGTCCTTTACTACATAATGGTGGGAGAAAAGATTAAAATACTGGGGCCAGTTATTTACTGTATGGAGAGAAGGAAAACAGCTAGATTTTGCAGCAGTTCATTTTCTTATTTTGGCTTTTTATACCGGCTATAAAAGCAACCTTCTTACCCAAGTTCTGCCACTGATTCTTTTATTGCTAACTCCTGAGTGCTGGTCAAGGTTTTAGAGATTTATTGTCATGATCTCAGTGAAATCCTGACACCAAGAACAGCTACTCCTATTTTCAACTTCATGTGAGGAAAAAGAACACTCAAAACTCCAGGATTAAAACATGGTTCTACACCCACTCACAAATTCATTCACAAGTCAGGTCCCAAACTCTTGGTTCCAGAATCAGAGTCATATGGCAAGCCAGATGATGAAGCAATCAAGCTAGCACAATTTATCCTCACTAATAGTTCCTGTGCTGCCACCCTGCCCAGGATCTAGCAGTTGTAGCAACAGCAGCAGCTGTACTCAGATATTGAACGATAACTCCTCTCCAGCTGTGGAAGAGCCCACATTTTACAGACACAGACATATATACAACACTTTTGTGAGACTCTTAGGGACTAATTGTGACAGCCTTGTCAATCCACTAACTGTGAGATCCATTGCCTATGACTGAGTAAATGATCTGCGCAAACATGTTGCTGACTTTTAGTTGTTAGCTCAGGATGGGAGCTGCAATGAAAAAAGCTTACCTGAACAGTTTAAAGAGGAGACAGCAGATGAAATATGGGATGAGCTCATTTATCAAAGCACCAGACTTTGCATTAATAAATCTCTACTTGGGGAATCTATGGAAGACACATATTGCAGCAGAGTACAGGAGATGGAAGAAAATATTGCTATTCTCTTTTGTATATATCACTTATTCACCATAGGAGTCAAATGTAGCTGGGAACCAGCAGAACTCCACACTCTTTCTGGGAAAAGCTGTGTCAATGCACTAAATAATCTCTGGCTGGACACCGGCTAGTCATTTCACACAGAACTGGTCTGCTAAGAAACCCCCCCTCCCCCATTCATGCTCCCAAAGCACTAGGAATGTATTGTATCTATAGGAATGTGGGAGGGAGGAGCATTTTGCAAGGTCAAAATCTGTCTGGATAAGAAACTAGTCATTCAGAAAATAAGTACAGTAAAACCTATACATTGAACTTTCAGGCTGACTCATCCGCAATACAAATGAAACCTGTACATAGATCCTGGTGTTGGTTGTGAACACTAGTATCACATTAATACGAAATTTAATACCCATTTCCAAAATAATAAACAGGTATAGATTGCTGTTCTTTTTGATAGAAAAGACAAGTGTCTTCCCTTTACACTGAAAAAATATGAATTAATTTACCTATATATAGGTTTCCCATTTGAAAACAGAGTATGTGCTTGAATTCTTCAGTATAGATTACTGAGCTCTATAATGACTAGGGGTCATTGCCCTTTTCCCCTCATCGTCAGTACTTAGAATAGGCAATTTTACCGAGTTGAATGTCAGAGAATCTTATAATGTAACTTACATGAAGGAGAATCACATGTACAGGTAGTCCTCATTTAGCATCTACAATTGGGACTGGCAACTCAGTTGTTGAGTGAAGTGGTCGCTAAGTGAAACTATGATTGTGCCTATAGTTCTTACTCCAGCTTTCCTTTTCCTTAAAGATCTGCGAAGGTTGTAAATGAGAGGATTGCTTGTAACATTACTTTTTCATCGCCATTGTAATTGCAA